TGATGATGATGATGATGATGATGATGATGATGATGATGATGATGATGATGATGATGATGATGATGATGATGATGATGATGATGATGATGATGATGATGATGATGATGATGATGATGATGATGATGACGGCGGCGGTCATCGTGGTGGTGACTATGGTGATGGCAGTCGACGTGGTGGCGGTGGTGGCGAAAACGGGACATGCGCTACACATCTTACAAGTAGTGCCAGGAGGCAACATGCATCACCCATAACGCACAACACACACACACCTGTGATCTGCTCTTCTTCATCAATGTGGAGACGGCAGAAGTTGGTCGTGTCCTCCAGCATGTGCTCAAACGCAGCAATCAGCCCAGCATCCGCCTGTGCACGCGAGGCAGTGTGTGTGTGCGTGTGTGTGTGCGTGTGCGTGTGTGTGTGTGTGTGCGTGCATGTTTGTGTGCATGTTTGTGTGTGTGAATCCAACAGCATAGAACCGCCCTTTCGACAACATGCACAACGTGCGCCCGTGGCAATTGCTCTTCAAAGACCAAAGTGGTGACCTTGTGCAGCATCACGCCAATGCAGGAGTCCGGTGGGATGCTCTCATCGCCGCTGTTGTTGAGCAGAGGACGGCAGTGGAGAAGGGGAACAGTCAGCTCTTGTCACTCAACTTCTCCCACACACGCAGTCTTGAACACGCATGACTCCTGGTACATACACACACAAGCACACAAAACGCACACACACACACACACACACACACACACACGCGCGCGCGCGCGCACACGCACACACACACACACGTGATGTTGGTGAAGATGTAGAAACGCGGGCCAGCCTTGAGCACGGGGATGTCTTCCGCCAGAACTGATGTCCATGTCCCACACGAAGCGACAAACACGCCCGCCTCAGTGCGGTGTATCCTCAAATCAGCGCTGCTGCTGAGCTCCCGCTGGAACTCACCTTTGTGTGTGTGGGGGGGGGGGGGAGAAGGGGATGAATGGGGGAAAGACAATAATATGCCAAACACGAGCACGCATAGCCATGTAAATGCACATTTAAGCACCCACCGACACACAGAAGCACACAAACACACAGAAGCAGACACAGACACATACATACACACATACAGACACAGAAACATACATGCGCACATACACAAAGGGTACCTTCTGCAGACACGAGAAACGACTGCGTGCCAGGAACCACCAGGTTGTCCGTTGGATATACGACTGCGCGGCTGGCGGGCGGGCAACATCGGGCCCTCAAGTCAGCCAGGGATCGCTCCAGTTCAGAGGCGCGTTGAGCGCTTTCTGTGCCTTGCGCCTTGACCTTGGCCAGCTCCGCTTCACCACGCTGCACGAACAGCACTGCTTTCTGCCAACGACCAAAGACAAAACAGGTTGTTGTTCATGTGAAGTGAGCGACAGCAAAGTCTGCTATGCTCACCACACAATATTGCGATGCATAGGTTGACGACAAGAACAGCAAACATGAGCTACAACAAGAAACAGCAACGGCCAACCTGAGGCTCGCCAGCGCGGAGGTACGCTTCCGCCTGCTCGCAGCAGTCCACCACACTCTTCAGGACGCTCGCCATATCCAACCAACGATACGATCGGTCGGTGAGTCAGCAAACGCACACGACACCACAAAGTGCAGTAAGTTACGAAATTAAGTGGAAATCTTTGGGTAATTGTCCATACTTCGAGTCCTCAGCCAGCCAGCGAGGCGGGGCCAAACAACAACAAACAACACAACAACAAACCACACAACAACAACAAAAAAAAAAAACAACAACTTGTTGCAGCTACCAACCAACTTCAACTTGCTGTGCACGTCGCCTCCGCCTCAATTCATCACACTCCACCGCCATCATGCAGCGCCCGTTGTCTGATAGGCGGGTGACCGTCTACAAGGAAGGATCGCTGAGAAAGTTGGGAGAGTTTAGGTCGGTGACACTTGGCATGTGCTGCTGTTCGAGTGAATAGCTTGGATGCCTCCTGTGCCTGTGCATGTTTGGATTTTCCTGTGATGCATCGGCCAGTGGTTCAGTGGCATTGTGGCGTGTTTGTGACACACACACACACACACACACACACACACACACACACACACACACACACACACACACACACACACACACACACACACACACACACACACACACACACACACACACACAC